CAGTACACGCATGTGTCTGTGAGAGTTTTTTTTTGTCTGTGAAGCGCGGTCCACAGACATAAGTTGGCTTGTTTTGTCTGTGGAGAATTTCACAGACAAAATAAACCAGCTTTTGTCTGTGGACCGCGCTTCATAGACAAAAAAAAACTCTCACAGACACATGCGTGTACTAATGGGTACAAAAACGTGTAAAAAAGGAATTTTTGTTTTTCCTTTGGCTAAAAGCCTAAAATTGATGGAGGGATTGTGAATGTTAACCAGAGACGGATCCAGGATTTTGAGTCAAGGGGGGTGAAATTTTTCGTTAGTGTAGGGGGTGAATTTTTTTTCGTTAGTGTAGTGGGGTGAATTTTTTTCCCCTAGTGTAGCGGGGCGAAATTTTTTCGCTACTGTGGGGCTATGCGGCTATTTTTATTCAAAAAATGACATTAATACATGCACATCCCGAACGGCATTTAAATCTAATACATTTTAAGTTTAGACGATAACAAAGACATCAACCAACACTACTAGAAAACTGCCTTACAGTGACACTTTTTTCGTGACACTTTTTTTTAAGTGTCACTAGTAGACGACTTAACTAATTACTGACATATAAGTGTCACTAGCTTGTGATACTATAACATCAATAAATAGTTGTGATACTAAATATAAATTTATGTTTTTTTTTCATTTATTACATCAGTTTCTCTCCAAAACATAAATTGGCTCCACAATTTGTATTACCCCCAAAATAATTAGATTCCCACCAAAACATATTTGCCATTAGTCCATTACCTAGCCTTTCACTTTATCTCTTCCGCATCTCTTTCACACTTCATCTCTGCGCGCCGCCTCATTCCAAACCTAGTTCCATCGTCCATCTCTGCAATTCGTACAAGCCGCCATCTTCTTCTTTTCCAATCGACCACCTCCTTCAGGGACTCTCTTCCATGAATCCCCCTAAAAACAGTCAGCTGCTCCAAATCGTTCACTGATCACTTTAGCCCTGACCCAATTTCCTTCAACGACAAATCTCTGCCATCTCTCTAGTCTCCTTCAACGTCGAAGCTCTGCCATTTCTCTGGACTCTCCCACGAAGCTCGCTTCTAGCCTAGATTGTTAACTAACATCATTAGAGAGACAAAAAGGTAAACTTCACACTTATTTTCGCTCTCAATTCAATTGTCAGTCTCCTTCGTACTCTGTGTGTATTTAAGTATTCCTACCTTGACGCCCAAAAGAGTTCATGTTGAGAGCTATCTCTCTCTGGAACGCCGTTCGTGTTGACGTTTTGTGTTCGATTTCTTGGTGTTTTCTGGTCGTTTTTCACATGTGATGTCATTTCCGAATCTGGATTTTCAATTAGACTAATGAATTAAGGCCAAAATCTCAAAATCGAACTGGTGTGTCGCGGTTTTTACTGCTCATTTCAAAAACAAGTTCTGTAAATAGAGTTGATTTAGGAGTTTGTTTCTGGATTCTAAGGTTTGTATGATGTTTATCTTCCAAAACCCAACTTATTAATCCTGTTTTTGAGCGAAGAAAAGTTGGTCAGCTTGAAACCCAGTACTGGAGCAAAGAAGTTCACAGGCCAATACAGTACCAATTTCAAGTCGTAGCTATACAAGGAAGATGAAAAGATATCTTTGTATTCTGGCTTAAAGGAACGTCGTGAATCTGCTGGCAAGGTAATTAATATATTTTTTCCTTATAAAATTATTTTCTAAGGAATGGCACAAATGCAGTTACATCAAGTTATTTTTTCCTTAAGTTGATTTGTTTTTAGTTTTTTTGTTATATTTTATTAATGGGTCACACTGGTTTATGTTTACTTTGGAGTAGTGCTATGGTGTACTAGTAAGTTACTAGTTTTTTGGAAGTTGGTGGCAATGCTCTTATATAGTCTACACTTTTTGGAACTTGGTAGGAGTATTCATTTGTAGTGAACACTTTCTATACTTTTTCGAACTTGGCGTATGAAACTAAAGTGTATTTACAAGAGTGTAGTAGAGGTTATTGGAAGGACACTTAACAAGAGTGTAGTGTGTTTGAAGTGCATATTTTAACTAGTGTTTATTGGCAATACAATAAACAAGAGTTTATTGCATTTTATTACTACTGTTATTTATTGTTCAATAAGTTTATGTGCAGGTTTTTAACTTGTCCTGGGACCTTGTAACTGGTTCATTTAAGAAGCGCATCTCTTGACCCGTATTTATTATAATTGGTTGTAATTAGCTTAGCTATTGTTCTGTTGTCACATCACAACAGCAAATCTGCCATTTTCCAGTTGGAATTTCGGAAATTGGAGGATGTTGAGACTATTCCCCTTTTTGGTTGTTAATTCGCTTCTTGGTATAATGAATGGTGTTGAGTCTTTTGAGTAGAACCTAGTTGTTAATTCCCTTTTTTGTATGTCAATTCGCTGTTTGGTTGTCTCCTGTACGGGATATTGCAGGTCTCATGTCTCCCAGAACCCGGATCGTAAGAGGGTTGCTTTCTATTTTGCGTGCTTGCTTGCACTCCAAATAAATCAATGTGCTCCACAGCTGGTTTACAAAGTGTATTATATTACTGCCGTCAGCCGAAAAGAAACTATGTATTATTTCATAGCTACTGTTATATGATATTTCATAGGTGTTCCATGCCTATCTTTCAGGGAGAGACTAGATGAAGTAAGCTATGCCTAATTATATATTGTAGGTGTGCTTGATAGCTAGGTTTGAAGAACTACTATCTTGAAGGTTTAATTTTACGAATGCTATGAACTTCAGTGTCATCTCACCGAGAAAGCTATCTTGTGAATGCTATGGACAAGAGTTTAACATGGAAAGTGTTTCAGGTATTGACTTAAGAATTAAAATGCAAAAGTAGTAGTTGGAAATGGTAGATGTCAAGTATAACATGTATCATCATAATGTTAATGTGATTTGTTTTAATTGTTCATCTGCATATTGCTACATTCACATTTAAATATGATATGAAATTTAATGTTTGGAACTTGTACTTCCGAATATCCAAGCTTCATCTCGAGTGAATTTTTTAAGTGAGATGCTTTCCCAGGGATTTCCAGAGGTAAATCTCAGTTTCATTAATTATTTGGGTATATTTTAAAATCTATTGATTCTAGACTTTATACCTATTTCATGAGTTCATTCACCTTATATTTTGAAAAGGTAACATGTTAAGGAGTCTCTATGTAGTCCAATAAATTTTGAATGTGAACTATTTCCCTTTTCACTCCTCTTCAATGTGTGCCTTATTTTAACACTCACTACTTAAACAATTGGATACAATTTTACTTGTGATTTGGATATAAAGTTCTCATGCATATGACCCTGTTTCTTTCTACAATACAGCCCTTGGAGACAAGACAGTGAAGAAGGGATTGCATATGCTGTCACGTTGCTAGAAGCGTGAGTTTGTATAAGTTATGTTTGTTGTTCATGAGGATGTGTTTCTAGAGTTGTAGTTCAGCTAATCTATACTGATTCAGTGCTTTCATTGATTAATGTTCATTCTTTATTTTGTTCATTTCATTTGTTTGTACAGAATGGGGTGACTTGTGGGGAGAATTTGCAGCAGGCCAGTGAAGAATTTGTAGAAGTTTGAAGCACCCTAGATATTTGGCTACTTAGCCCCTACAAGTGCTATACTATTATATTGTCAAGCTTTTGTACTTTGAGGAATTTGGAAGTAATTTATGTACGTACTATATGGTTCATGGAAACAGTTTGTTCCAGGCAAAAAACAATCCAACAATACATGATTTAAAATATCATGCATTTTGGTCAAGTAAATTGTATGGGATATATGTAATGCTACATAATTGTTTATGAGTGGTAGATTTGCTTTAATGCTTTGTATACACATTCAAACGTGTAAAAGTAATGATAACAGGATTCAAAAAATGTAAATGATATTTGCAGGTATAATAAATAAAGATACTAATGTATCACAAGCTTTTTTGATGGTTTGGAGTCATTTTTCTATATGATACTAATGCATCATGATTATGTGTGTCTTTACAGTATCACAAGTAATTGTGATATTAGAGTGTCAAAATATCTAATGATACTTAAGTGTCATAATTTGCTGACATTTCATTGGTGACACTAAATGTAGTGTCACCATTTCCTACCTTCTGCGACGGAAGACATGTGTCACGGAAACTTTCTGTGACACAAAAATAGTGTCATTATAAGAGCTTTTTCTACTAGTGCAATACATTTTTAATAACTTCTACATTGTTTAACCTCATAAATCGGTTATTGAATTGTAATTTTTGTCCACCAAGGAGGGTGTTCGTGAGTCATGACTCATGAGAAGTTTTCTTAATATTACAATAGTAGTATACTAGTATGTATGAGATTGTTATTTTTAGAATAATGTGCACTACATACACACACACATATATATGGCGCATATTATATTTTAATATTTTTATTAATTCTATAATAATTTAAAGTTTATTATCCATTCAATAAATTATTTTTAGAAACCAAGAAGTAAATGAATTATGTAATCTAATGTCTATAAATATTTATATTTTGGATTCATTTCACGTGATCTAAAAATTGTGTAATTAGTGTGTCTGGTATTTAATATTATTTGATATATGTTTTACAAAATCCAGTACTTGCTATCTAATAAAGATAATTAAACATTACAAAACTATGAATTCTTATATAATAAGTATCCTAAATCTTAAATAACGAGTTACTCTATTGTTTATTTGTTTAAGTTATGTAAATTATTTTAGATGTTTATTCTTTCAAATCTCCAATTAAGTATTACATTATGTAAGACTATATACTAACCTTGAAAATTAAAAGATAAGGGGAGCGAATCTAATTAAATTATGAAAGTTTTATGAAAATATTACATATACGAGTATATGTAATTTTTATGAAAGTTTTATGAAAATATGTATAAAAAAAATTGAATGTCCAAGGGGGCGGTCGCCCCCCGCGCCCCCCTAAATCCATCCCTGATGTTAACCTGCATGCATCGCAGCACGTGTCACGTCGTCGTCTGCAATTTCGGGCACCTAAGCGGCTAAGCTATCACCGTCTCTGTATGGATGGGATTCTCTATTTCTCAGCTCACTCCCTGATGCTTATTTCTCCACCGTCGTTGAAACACAAAAACGGTTTCTATTTTATTTTAAATTCGTACAATCTCCGTAAAAGCAACTTTTCGTCGTGGCCTAAGCCGCGCGAATCTCCCGTGACAGAGACCTCTCTCTATCTGCCATTCACCGCTTCCACTTGACAGTCAAAATTTTCTAAGCGGAATAGCTCAAAACTGCCCGCATTTGAGGTTGCTGCCAAGTTTATAAATATTTCCTACATTTGATCGTAATCCCCGTTCTCTCCCCGATTCTCGAGCAGGTTAGGTCTTTTTAGATATTTATTTATTTATTTATTTATTTATTTTAAATTACTGCTTCAAGCAACCTTTGCTTCGAGGGATTTTCATTGCATTCTGTTTAGATTTCATTAAAAGCTCTGTTTTTTTATTTTATTTTGATCTCTCAGATGCATTTTTGCTATTTGCTGGTTTAATTGCGCTTTTAGGTGAGGTTTTGGTTATAATTTAGGGAAATTATTCCGTTTTGCATTTTCGCTCAACTGGTACCCTAACTATTTATGGTTCGTGCTACTTTGGTATTCAACTCCTTGATGCATAACAATGTACCCAAATTAGGACAAACGTTACGTTCAATACTTCAATTTAATGTTCTTTCAATAAATCTGGCACGGGAGTATAGCTTGCGGAGCGTTACACTGTTCATAAATCACAAACTGAAGTGAGATATACATTGTTAGAGCTTTGATTCAGCCTGTAACTCAAATGTGCTTCTTTCAGGTGAAGATGGGAGTCAAAGCATTACTTGTCACCCTTTTCCTTTCATGTCTTTTATCTCCTCTTGCTCTTTGCGCTTCAAATGATGGACTGCTCAGGATGTCACTCAAAAAGATGAAACTCGAACATAAAGACCTTCTTGCCCTCAGTAACAGGGGAAGGTCATCTAGTTTGAAGTATGAGTTCCATGGTGGATTGAGGAATTCAGAGGATACTGATATTGTGGGACTAAAGAACTACATGGATGCTCAATACTTTGGAGAGATTGGCATTGGTACCCCACCTCAAAAATTTACTGTCATCTTTGACACAGGGAGTTCCAACTTATGGGTGCCATCGTCAAAGTGTTATTTCTCAGTAAAGCTCTCTACTTTTTATTCTAATACTAATATTTTGAAATCTTTGTTGGTTTAACTAGATTTGTTATATGCACATTGTATGTAAACTGAATTCTTGTTTAAGAAATCGTTGCAAACAGAAGTATGAGCTTCTGTGAAGCAAGGAAACTCTTTACACCTCATGCTCCTCTATTTCTGAAACTCAGAAGCCTGTCAGAAATTGGGAAACTTCAAATTCCCTTTTTTGGACTGTTTCTGTAACTAAAAAGAATTGAGAAACCCATTTCCCTAAATAATTAGAATGTAGGAAACCTTGGGTTTCCAATTATTTTCTTTTTAAGAGATTCTCTAATGGAAACAACATCTTTTTTAAAATCTTTAGTGAATATTTGTGGTATTTCATAACACAATGCTACTACAAATGTATTGCATTTTATGTTTCATGATGTACTCATATTTAATGATATCTAGATTTGAGCATGTATAATGCTTTTATTATAGGTCATTATACATTTTATATGAAAAAAATTATGTGCACACACACACACATATATATATATAATTATATGTATAGATGAAAAAACTTGTGTGCATATAATTTTTTTTAATAAATATATCCTTATATAGACGTGCCCTTCACATTTCCTATCCTATATTTTTTTAGAAATTATGTTTTCTCCCGTTTCATGTTTCTCGTTTCCGTGCTCCTTAGATGAGTATGCTTGATTTATTGTAGCACTCATTTAGTCTAATGAAATTAGTTATTACTTTTTTACTAGGAATGAACTAGTCCTATTTCGAGAGAAAAATTGCTGCCCAATTTGATGAAATGTGTTATGTTTTAGTCGCATTTAAGGAACTTATCTCTTCTTTATGAGACATTGGATGGAATGAGTTTTTCCCTGATGCCATTCATATTATTTATTGATGATTTTTACTATGATTGCAGCTTTCCTGTTTCTTCCATTCGAAATACAAATCAACCCACTCCAGCACCTATAAGAAGAATGGTTTGTGAGATGTCCTCTGCCATTGATGATTCCGCTTCATGTGTCATTCTCTCTTTTTAGAATGAATAAAACATATGGAGAAAATGAGAGTTGGAAAATGAAATCATGTCTAAAATGTGTGGCTTTGAGTGGAAAATGAGGAGACAAAAGAAAAAACAAGTTCTATCTTTTTTTTTTCAATCCCACCTCTCCAGGATGAGGAGATTATTAGCTGAGATTAGCTAAAAGTGTATTATAAACTCCGTATCAATGTTTGTTTAAATCTTTAATCTCCTCCAAATATATCTGATCTATCGTAGGATAGTTTCTTTGGGAAATAATATGATGGTAAAAAAGTAAATTGATACTTTCTTTCCTTTTCAATGGTTTAATCCAAACAAAAGAAACTACATCATGTTTTCTTTTCACTGTCCATATTTTACATCAATCCAAACAACATGATAATGAAAGAAACTAAAAAAAAATCCGTTTTTATTTCCTTCCACCCTACACGGAACATATCCAAACATTGAGTTCATCAACTTTTTGCCATAATATGCTCTTCAGGAACATCGGCTGCAATTCAATATGGTTCTGGAGCAATTTCTGGCTTCTTCAGCAAGGATAATGTCCAAGTTGGTGATCTTGTTGTAAAAAATCAGGTGAATTAGGCTCTTTGTCAGGCATTTAAATTTTAAAATGTCATTGGGTGAAATTTGGTTTCTGATTATAATTAATTTATACCAGGATTTTATTGAGGCAACTAGAGAGCCAAGTCTGACTTTTATCGTGGGCAAGTTTGATGGTATACTGGGTCTAGGGTTCCAGGAGATTTCTGTTGGAGATGCTGTTCCTGTTTGGTACGAGTATATGATAAATCCTATCTTTTTTAGTCCCCCTTTTAAGTTTTAAGTTTTGATGGACTCCATCTGTTGTGAAAACTGCTAGACCTGCTTGTGCAGTTCATCAGAATGCATTTATGTCCTTTGGAGTATGTTTTGATCTCGGAAAAGGCTAGGGTAAGAGGAAACAATGCAAAGGAAAGTTATTTTCTTTCCTTCTCAATTCCTCCTAGAAAGCATTTTCCGATTTCCAAACAGACCCTAGAAAATCTAATGTTGGGAATTTGGGATTCATGCTTTTTGAAGCATTATGGCTTTTAGTTATTATACGGAGTACTATTTTGAGAAAATTCCATAAATATGAGTAAAAAAAACAGGACAGTTCATCAAATAGGAGTGTCATTGTTTCTTCCTAAAGATGAGAAGGGAGAAGAGATCGTTTTGGGGAAGAACATATTTCATTTCATTTTAGAATTATGTCAAATGTTTTACTTCTCTTTTGAACAATTTCTTTAGTATTTTCTTTCTTCAAATTCAAGCTCTTACACTCTGATTCACAAACAGGTACAACATGATGGATCAAGGTCTAGTTAATGAGCCGGTCTTCTCATTTTGGCTCAACCGGAATTCAGAAGATGAAGAGGGGGGAGAGATCGTATTTGGCGGGGTAGATCCCAAACACTACAAAGGGAAACATACCTATGTTTCAGTGACACAAAAAGGTTATTGGCAGGTAGAGGCATATTATAACTTCTGGGTGTTGTGTTGTGTATGCTTATGTTCTGCTTAGTCTTGATAATTTTTAGAGTTAATTACCTAAATAGGAGTAAAAGGTAGTCCACAATCACAAATAGGACTACATTGTTTTTATGTACTTGTAGGACTAATTATGTGTGTTTGGACTATACCCTTGTAGCTTTTGAAATGTTTTAATTCATAAAATAATCATAAAAAATAATAAAAAAATAATAAAATATTTTTTAAATAAAAAATAAATTAAATAAAATAAAAATAAAAAACGACAAAAAAAATCACCGCTGCCTCTGCCACGCCCAGCACAACCACCTCCAGTCACCGGAAAATAATGCCACATGCATTAGTAATGCCATATTAATGGCAATGAAATTTTTGGCATTATCAAAGAGTAATATCATCTTTTTTGGGCATTTTCATAAAAAATGGCATTTTTTTTACAAAATTGGAATTTTTTTACATAGGTCGGAGGTGGTGGTGCAGGGAGGCAGTAGAGGCGGAGGTTTTGGGAAAGGCATCCATATTTTTTTTTTAATGTTTTTTACTATTCTTTATTAATTTTTTTTTCTTTTAATTTTTTTTCTATGATTTATATTATTTTTCTACGATTTTATTATTTTTCTACAATTTTATTATTTTTTACGGTTTTATTATGAATGAAAACATTTCCTTATGAAAGATATATCAAGATATATATATATATATATATATATATATAGAGAGAGAGAGAGAGAGGGAGGTTCAAATACACTTAGGGGTATTTAGGGTACAAAATTAATGTTTAGTCCTATTTGTGAATGATTTAGGAGTGTAGTCCTGATTGTGATTTTAGCCTAGTTTTAGTTCTATTTAGGGCAATACCTATAATTTTTATGTTACTTTGCAGTTTGATATGGGCGATGTTCTCATTGATGATAAACACACAGGTATGCTACTAATTCTTATCTGCTAGTTTGACACCACCACCATGAGTGAAAATGCTACTTATACATTACTTGCAATCATAGGGTACTGTGGCAGTGGATGTGCTGCAATAGCGGATTCAGGGACTTCTCTCATAGCTGGCCCAACGGTATGCTTTATATGATATTGGTTTAGCAAGTCAATGGAGATTTATGTATGGACACTTCTCTGAAGAGTTTCTAATTTTCGAGGCCATCTTCCTACAAAACTTTGGTGTGGGAGTGTGGGACTTTGGTTGAGTGTACTTTTGCCTACTCGGCAATATGCACATTTTCTGATTTCATGTGCAGTATTTGTGACAAATACATGCCCTATCCCCGAAGTATACATCTATATATGAGCTCCGATCTGTCGGGAGATGTCCTGATCTGTTGGGAGATGTCCTGATAGAACTGATGTCACTCATCTAATACTCAACTCTCTGCTGTACTTTGTCTAATTGTCGACCCACCTAGCCCACCTAGTCCATTTTAAAGAGTAGAGTTACTCGCCTGGTAGTCTAGTACTTGGTGATTTTAACTGTGTTGAGGCCGGTTACGCCGTGACCTAGTCGTTGTAGAGAATAAAAATTGTGGTAATGTGAAATAAAAAGAATTTTGGTCTTAGTCATTCTAAGACTATAGAATCTCAATCAAGAATCAGGATGTGTTTGTGGACAGAAGAAGACGAATAATCGAAGGTAGTGTTTGATCTTCAACCAAATGGTGAATCTTGGATATACAAAGTTAGGATTAATTACATACTTTGATCTTTAAATTCATTTTGAACCATGTTAATTATATAAAATTAGACTGCTCAAACAAAAAATGAAACCATTATTTCTTCCGGAAAAGGACTTGTTGGAGTTAGATTATTAGAATATTCCAGCATATCATTTCAAGACTCTACTAATAACACTGTGTTATCATCTGATAGTTTTCATCAATCTCTCCTAATTGCTACTTGTCTTTGACCGAGTACAAGTAACAATTTAACTACTTAAACTTACTTTTTTATTTGACTAATCCTCTTTCCACTCCCATGTTCCCCCATTCTGGGGTGCAGCCTGTGATAACATTGATCAATTATGCCATTGGAGCCTCTGGCGTAGTGAGCCAAGAATGCAAGGCTTTGGTTGAAAATTATGGGACAAGTATGGTTGATTTGCTTTTAAGAGAGGTATTATTATGTCTTTAATTGGTTATTTGACAAAGTAACTCTCTAGTAAATTTGGTGATAATAATTGTTCAAGTACTTTCCACTGTAAATCTGTAATAGGAAAACCCAAAGAAGATATGCTCCAAAATTGGGTTATGCACGTTCGATGGAACTCGTGGTGTAAGGTTAGGTTTAAGAACCCAACCTCTATTATTATGTATAGAAAATCCCACATCTAATATTTAACAACTTCATGTGTATGCACAGTATGGGGATTGAGAGTGTTGTTCCTGAAAAGGAAGGGAGGTCAAATGGGAGAGGTGATGCTGAGTGTGATACTTGTGAAATGGCTGTCTTTTGGATGCGATCTCTACTTCTCCAGAATCGCACAGCAGACCAAATCTTGTCTTCTGTCAATGAGGTAAATTATGCCCTCAATAAGGTTTACATCTGTTGAGTATACAGTTGTTGTTTCTGGCTTATATATATTTAATAAAGATGCAGTTATGTGAGCGGCTCCCAAGCCCAGTGGGAGAATCGTCAGTTGACTGTGGACAGCTTTCTTCAATGCCTACAGTTTCCTTCACCCTTGGCAAAAAAGTATTTGACCTCTCCCCTGATGAGGTATGCTTGTTGCGCTGTGAATATATACACTTGTATTGTCATGATTGTTAGTTTCCCACAGAATAAGCTGAGAATGTGCTTAATGTTTTGTATTTTGCATGTGGCTCTTGTTCGTGTTATGTTGGTGTGTTAACAGTACATACTAAAGATTGGTGAGGGTCCGGCTGCCCAATGCATAAGTGGGTTCACAGCGCTAGATGTCGCTCCTCCACGTGGACCTCTTTGGTACCACTTCCATCTCCCCTTGAGTCCCAATCCTTATTAAACAGGCAGATGTAATTAGGCAAAGTGCTGTAATGAAAATGCTTTTGTTGCAGGATTTTGGGAGATGTTTTCATGGGGCGTTATCACACCGTCTTTGACTACGGCAATCTGCAGGTTGGATTTGCCGAAGCTGCTTAGTGCCCCCGCACACGGCCGTGTTTCGTCATGTCTATGTATATGTTTGTGTCCTTGAACAATCTGTGTGAATTGAATCTTTCAACAAGGTGAAGCTTCCTTGAATTCTCACATTTTATAAGTTGACACAGATCAAAGGTGAAGTAATGCCTAAAAAATAACCATTTTAAACAGTCTCGTCTACATTTTCATTTGCCATTTTAGATTTTCCATTAATCTCGAGAATTCTTCCCACTTTCCTTTTTGGGCCGTTCCCAAAAATACTTACTGTGAGAATAATGGAAAGGCATACCTAATGAGGTAGCCTAGATGTCATATATATAATAGAAGAGTTCTGAGTACATTAGGAAACAAATAAATATGGAAACCTAATTAAAGTATAATTACTCTATTACACCCCCTCAAGCTGTGCAGGGGAAACAATGCGCAGATTGTCCCTAAGAAAAATAAAACGCTGCGGAGATAAACTCTTTGTCAAAATATCTGCTAGCTGAAACTGAGTAGGAACGTGACGAACAACAAGATCACCATGGGAGACTCGTTCTCGTACAAAATGATAATCAATGCTGATATGCTTACTTCGAGCATGTTGAATAGGATTAGCTGACAAATAAGAAGCCGAAATATTATCACACATCAGTGTGACTGGTGCACGAACAGGAAACCCCAATTCAAATAAGATGGAGCGTATATGAAGAGTATCCTGAACTGTGTATGCAATTGCCCTATATTCAGCTTCTGTGGAAGAACGAGAGACAGTTGGCTGCTTCTTAGCCTTCCACGAAACCAAATTAGGACCCAGAAAAATAGCAAAATCAGAGGTGGACCGACTGCTATCAGGATAGCCAGCCCAATTAGCATCGGAGTAAGCCTGTATGGTAGGAGTAGTAGTGCTCGGCCGAAGCAGTAATCCATGCGAGATAGACCCCTGAAGATACCTGAAAATACGCTTAACAGCCAAAAGATGAGGTGTACGGGGCGCATGCATGAATTGAGAAATCAAGTGAACAGCAAATGTAATATCTGGTCGAGTCATAATCAAATACTGTAAAGCACCTACCATACTTCTGTACTCAGATGGATCTGCTAGAAGATCACCATCAGTGAGAGAAAGTTTAGTTCGTGTAGCAAGAGGGGTACGAACAGGCTTAAGAGTGTGAAGATGAAATCTGGTGAGAAGATCAGACACATATTTTTGCTGAGATAAAAATAAACCAGATGGTACTCGAACAGCTTGGACACCTAGGAAAAAGTGTAAATCCCCCAAATCCTTCATAGCAAAACATCGACCCAGACATGAAATAAATGTGGAAATAAAGGAAGGGGAATTACCAGTAACAATAATATCATCAACATATAAGAGAAGATAGATCACTAAAGAACCATGCCGATAGATAAACAAAGAATTATCAGACTTACTGCAAACGAAACCATGCGTCAACAAGAAACTACTAAATCTGTAAAACCAGGCTCGAGGAGCCTGTTTGAGACCATAAATAGCCTTACGGAGGCGACAAACATGGTTAGGAAACTGGGGATGAATAAAACCAGGTGGCTGACGCATATATACTTCTTAAGTCAGATTACCATGTAAAAAAGCATTTTTAACATCTAACTGACGAATAGCCCAATCAAACGAAACAGCAAGAGATAAAACAATACGAACAGTAGTGGGCTTAACGACTGGACTAAAAGTTTCAGAAAAATCCACACCAGCTTGTTGAGTAAAACCTTGAGCCACCAGACGAGCCTTATACCTCTCAACTGACCCATCTGAATTAAATTTAGTTTTATAAATCCATTTAGACCCGACCACATTTTTATGAGGATTAAATGGTACTAAATCCCAAGTATGATTATTAATGAGTGCATTAAACTCCTCTGCCATAGCCTCTCTCCATTTAATATCCTTATTAGCTGTAGAAAAACAAGAAGGATCACATGCCGAAATATCTGTTTTGAGATTACAAATAGTTTTTGGTTTAAAAATCCCAGATTTGGCTCGAGTTTGCATCGGATGACAGTTCACCGGGGAAGGTGCATGCGGAGAAGGTGGCGGTTCTGCCGAGGATGGTGGAACGGACAGATTTGGGGTGGCCGGAGGAGAGGATGGAGGTGATGTGAAGAGTGGGGAACTGGACCGAGAGGAGGCATATGAGGTCGGGGATTTGGGAGTGCTAGGGAGGTCGGAAATGGGTATGGAGAGGTCGGAAGTGGCAGGCACGGTCGGAAGTGGGGTGGTCTCAGCCGGGTGTAGAAGATGGGTACTGCCAGAAGGTTGGGAGTTTGGTCGAGAGGTAGGGGAGGTGGTATGGGCTGGAATGAAAGAAGGTAGTGTGCTCTCATGTAGCTGGACAGTATTAGAGGATAAAATGGCAGGTTTTGAGGAAGAAATAAGGTCGGAGTATGGAAAAATATCCTCATAAAATCGAACATTCCTATTGATGTAAATCTTGCCACTGATAGGATCTAAACAACGATAACCTTTATACTCAGGGGCATATCCCAAAAACACACACAAAACAGATCGCGGAGATAATTTATTGGCAGAGGTGGCAATAAAATTTGGAAAACAGGCACAACCGAATACACGCATAAAAGAGAAGTCAGGTGAGTGGTGGAATAATTTTTCAAACGGAGAAAGACCATTTAAATTGGGAGTGGGAAGACGATTAATAATATAGGTAGCGGTAAACACGGCATCAACCCAAAAATTAGCTGGCATTTTTGCCTCTAGTAGCATAGTGCGAGTTAATTCAAGCAAATGTTTATGTTTACGTTCAGCTATACCATTCTGTTCAGGAGTGTCAGGGCAAGATTTCCTAAACAAAATGCCATTACTAAGAAAAATTTCACGCATACCATGATTATCAAACTCACCCCCTCCATCACTTTGAAAAATTTTAATCTTGGAATTAAATAGATTTTCCACCATTAGTTTAAAATTCTTAAAATGACTCACAACTTCACTTTTACGACGCATAGGATAAAGCCATGTAAATCGTGAAAAGTCATCAATAAATAAAACATAGTATTTAAAACCACTGGTAGAAAGAACAGGAGATTGCCAAACATCTGAACGAATCAAATATAAAGGAGAAGTAGATTTATGCCAAACTTCTTGAAAAGGTAATCGTTGTGATTTTCCTAAGCGACAAGAAATACAATCATCAGAAAAGTGCGAATTACTAAGAATATTGCCAGTCTTCCTAAGCCTATCTAAGATACGAGTGTCACAATGCCCCAACCGACGATGCCAGACTGGTCCAGGAGCAACATGTGAGGCGAGAGCAACAGGTGAGTAAGAAGAAAGTGAGATGGGGTAGACACCACCATTACTGGAAGCTCGCAGAAGCACCTTCCCCGAAATTTTGTCCTTAACACAAACAGAGTTTTTATCAAAAATCACAAAACAATTATTATCGGCACATAATTTTTGAATGGACATTAAATTATATTTAAAGTGTGGAACATGATAGACAAATTTTAAATGAAGAGGTCGAGGCGGAGTGGACAGATGCAAGTCACCAATAGTCATAACAGGTAAAGTGGAACCATTTGCAACCGTAATAGAAAGTGGTTCAGTATAACTAGATTTATTGACTAAAATACCTTCATTAGCGGTCATGTGAGCGGAAGCGCCAGAGTCAGGATACCAAACAGCCGGAGTGGATTCTCCAGTAGGAACAGCTAAGGCAGGAGTAGATGGCTGAGAAAAACGAGACGGGCACGAAACAGCGGAATGACCTGGGGAATGACAAATTTGGCAGACAACGGGTGGTGGGACTGAACCAAAATTATTCTCAAAAGACGGGATTCCTGCAGACACATTGTTAGTACAAAGAGTAGATAATGCAGGAGTATAAAATGATGACACAACCGTATTACAAAAGACTGTACCCGGTTGTCCCGAAAATTGAGTGTACTGCTGTCCGCGGCCGAATTGTTGCTGCTGGTGGGAGTGGGGCCGCTGACCGAACTGCTGCTGCTGTGCGGGGGACTGCTGCTGCGGGGGGAGCGGCTGACCAGGCGCGGGAAACTGCTGGCGTCCGCGGCCACGTCCACGCCCCCGGCCACGGCGACCTCCTCGGCCGCCCCTATAGGGCTGTTGTTGTCCGGCAGCATGAGCCACATCCTGAGGTCCTCCCGATGATATGTTGGCCGAAAAAGCAAGGGCACCAACTGATGATTCCAAAGATTGTTGATATTGTAATCGTGCCTCTTGATGTACCAACTTGGTGCATAATTTGTCAAAAGTAAGTCCTTCGGGAAAAAGTGTAAGTGGTCCGACAAGCGATTCATAACCCGGTCCCAATCCATAAAGAGTATGTTGTAAAAGATCAGAATCAGAAACCGGGCAATTAATGGAATTCAAATTGTCCGCTATTGTCTGAATTCCACGAACATACTCTTCCATGGATTGATTAGCCTTCTTTCGTGAATGTGTCAACTGATGTTTTAACTCCATGGAACGAGCAAGGCTTGCCGCCATAAACCGGGATTCCAACTTTTCCCAAATTGAAGCGGAATTCTTAAGAGTATGAACCTCCATCAAAACTTCACGAGAGAGAGTATCAAATAGCCAGGCACGAATAGTTTGATCCAGTTTTAACCAGTGATAATATTCAGGATTCATGGAAGAAGCCTGATATAAATCATAGGTATATAACGGTGGAGCAGGGAGCGACCCATCGAGAATGCCGAGGACACCATTCGCTACCAAGAACGACTCAAATTGAGTTCGCCAAGGTAAGTAATCTTCTACCTTCAATAATTTGGTGGTAACAATTTGATTGATTGCAGAACCAAGAGTCATACCTTGCGCCAACGCAGAAAAGGAAACCGGAATGGAATTATCCAATTGGCGCCGGTGTATAGGCTCGGCCGTGTGAGGCATACGCAGACCAGGAGCTCCGGACAAAGTTGAACCGCCAAATCGAGCTCGGACAGCCGCGGCACTGCTGGATTCGGCGTGGGAGTCGGCATTAAACAGAGGCGGTGGCCGGATTGTAGGTTGTGTTGGTGTCCATGTAAAAATCGGCGGAATCCATGGTGTATCAAGCGGCGAGCCCGAGACATGGTGATGGAGTATCTCGGACTGCAGCGGCGCTGTGAGGGATCCGTCGTGTGAAGCTACGCTCATTACCGGCACGTCATCTGCCGGCGTTGTAGTCGCGGCAGTGGTGCGGGGAGCGGTTTGGGTCTCGGCGGCGGAAGTAGTGACCGAAGACATGAGGAAAAAAAAATTAGAAACCTAGGGCTCTTGATACCATGTGAGAATAATGGAAAGGCATACCTAATGAGGTAGCCTAGATGTCATATATATAATAAAAGAGTTCTGAGTACATTAGGAAACAAATAAATATGGAAACCTAATTAAAGTATAATTACTCACACAATTTGTGTGGAAACCTAATTAAAGTATAATTACTCACACAATTTGTGTGGAAACCTAGATGTCATATATTCGGTCAGCGGCCACGTCCACTTACCACATTCCCTTTTTGGACAATTTGTGTGGCTCACATTCATTTTACCTTTTTCTCACACAACCACAATCACACATTTCCACTTTATTCCACTTTCTTAATAGGCGTGCCAAGTCAAACCGGGAAGAATTTTTAGGAACGGAGGTAGTATAATCCATAGCAAGCAAGCATTAATCAAGAATGTGCATTCACGGACTAAAACGCCAGCGTGACTTGGAGCATCTTTTAATAGCGCATCTTTAATGCTCTCTTTGAAATCCATCGCTAAGTATATTGTCAAAGACGTTCTTTTCAATGTGCATTACATTTAAATTGTGATTAATGGAGAAGGTCTTTCCAGTATGACAACTCTAAAAAATAGGTTTGTACCCGATTCGGGCCACCCGGACCGGGAACTGGCCCGGCCCGGCCTAGTACTGTGTGGGCCCAGCCCGGGAACCGGGTACCGGTTCCGGGTCTAGGCCCGGTTTGGGGGGCACGGGACTTGTACGGGTTAGGGGAATGCCGAACCGGCAATGCCCGGGTCTGGTTTGGGCCTAATTTATTTTTCATTTATTTTTGGCTACCCCGGGTTGGGTTGGGTCACCAGGGTGTTTTTGGGGGGTTGGGGGGGGGCCAGGGTAGTTAGGAAAGCAAAAAAAAAAAATTGTAACTAGGCTCTAGCCCTACTCGAACCGAACCCGGACCGGACCCGGTAGATACCCGGGCCAGTTCCAAGCCTATCCCCAAACTCCAAAAAACCCGCCGGGCCTAGGCCCGACCCGGTCCAACACTACCCAAAAGTACTATTCTTTGTCAACTTATGGCTAATAGTGGTCTAGATCCTTGTGTGGCTCCTGCAAAACCATAGGAATACATGGAATACGTCGAAGCAGGTTAAGAATGGGTCTCGTACAACTCTTCTCTCTAATGAAAGATTTTTTGCCTTTCGATACCAATTGGTTGTTGGGAGATACTTTCGACAATGATCAAAACAACTTGATTTTTCACTGAATTTGAGTCGATTTGCACGGTTGCAACTAATTTTTCCATACATATCGGATATTTCGTAAGCGGCGTTGCTCCATCTCAAAAACGTACCATATGCAGGAAAGTCACCAATAATCCATATGATAAAGGCTTTGCTCATAAACATTTGATCTCGAGAGACATCATATGTCGGTGTCCTAATAGCCTAAATTTCTTTCATCTTTTCGATAAGGGGCTGAAAATGGTATATCTTTTTCTTTGGATCATTTGGACCTAGATATATTAAAGTCAAAAACATGAAATGACTTTTCATGCATATATTAAGGAGAGATTATACGAAGTCATGATTGATCAACATGAAAACTTGCTCCCTTTTGTGTGTGTGTGCGTGTTATGTGATTTGATCTTTTATTTCTTCCTATTTTTTGGTAAGTGATAGCCTCTAACTAACAGATACACATTAAAGGATTTTTTAAAATTTACCCAGCTGCCCTTTATTAACTTACGTGTGGATTAGAGAGCAAGTGCATTTTTAAAATGTTTGTACTTCCACCATATATTTGTGCACCTCATCCTCTTATCACCTTTGATTTACTAAGATGTATGATTCAGATTTGTTCTCACTTCTTACAATAAGGAGTGTTCTCATTTGAACCACTCCGGCCGAGAGGTTTTGGGGACCTTCCCGGTGAAATTTTTCGATGTAATTTTTCGAACATGTTCATTATCAAGTCTAATTTATCCATATCAAATTTCAGCTAAAAATTCGATAGGGGGGGGCAGTCAAAAATTTCCTACGGAAACTGCGCAGTTTATATATATAAAGCACAACCCAAACCCATCGGAAACACCCAGCCCTGCCCATGTAATTTGTATGCCCAACTTCTCGGAGTGCACCACCCGACTCATTGGACTGTTCACCTACCAAGACCTTGCTTACTAGTTACCACTACCACCCGGCACCCGCTCGACGGGCTCTATGACTATGAATCTATGATCACGATTCCTACCTTTTCTCTTGGGGCCCTCCCATTGCTCCAGCCAGAACCTAAATGTTATGTACCACTTTCAAATTTCACAAGACTTTATACCTAAAGTTGCACTAATGACAGTTGTGAACTTGTGATGTTTGTAACTTATTTAAATTTGACATAAACAATGTCTGCAGTAAAACGGGGTTAGCAGAAGTTTTTGTGTGTGTACACGTATCCAACATTGCAACCACAATTAGTTTGAGATATACTTGTTCATAGCCACCAATTACCACTTCATTAAGTTCATAACCAAATGAAAACAAATTGTATTAGTAATACTTCGTACTTCCTATTAGTTTTTTTTGGACCATTCTTTCTAACCTTCCTATTAGTTATTCACTCAAACGAGAGTGAATAAATATGACTACACGTGAATGATAATAAATACAGAGTAGCTGACTGGAGTTGCAAGCATCCACTATTCATATTCGAACCGAACCAACCATCTCCCATCCTCTGTCACCACGAATGTATAATACCCATGAGTGCTATAACAATTCAATCTACCACAAACTTCGTGTTGAAATTGTATACACGCAAGCTGCAACAAAACAATCATATGGTAAAAATATAGAATGAGATGAATAAGTTAGGTTCGACAAAGAAACATATATAATATTAACACATGGAAGTAATACAATATGATATAGAAAGTGTCAAGACTATGAGCTACTTTAAGTTGCAGCGTTTACCTTACGAAACACAAGCTGAGACGGCAAATCTACACCATTGTTAAACTCCTTGTCTACCGCAGTCTTCAATCCCTGATTATTGTAATGAACACAACACAAAAACTCGTACTAAAAAACACATTAAATATTTTGGAGAAAAAAGAACATAAATGTACACTATTCTAGTCGTATTTTATGGCGGGACTCTCTTACCTCAACATCACCAGTAAACTTAGGCACATGAATAATATGCTTATACCTCCTAGGATATCCGGGGCGAAGTCCATCCACAAACTTCAGAATGTCACACGTATGGTATGCGAAAACTATAATCAAGAATCCCCTTCAAATGATGAAAAAACAACTAGAAAATTAGGACGCAGTGCAGCCGCATAGTAATCCTATGACCTTCGTCCCATATTAATTGCAACGGTTTTACTTATGCACAATACAGTATACACAAAATCGACTATGACCACATCTTATTCCCTAATGCATTAAAAAATACAGTTACATTTGTCTAGATGTAAAAATTTAAAATATGATTCTTATACAACTTATCATGATAGGAAATCAAATATAATTAAAGTTAAAACGGTCGCAACTAAACTGGTACAGTATGTGATAGTAGAAATTACTCCAAATAGGAGTAAAACCAAGGTAGTCACAAGCGCTCGCCCTGGCACTTAAGCGCACAAGGCGCAGCGAGCATGACCCACAGCGCCTGAGAAAGTGGGAAGCGCACGTACCTGGGTCAGGCGCACCATAAGCGCATGAAGCGCTGAGGCGCACGCCTAGGTCGCTTGAGCCGGAAAAGGCTTACAGCCTCTTTTTTTCTTTAAAACTTTCATGAACAATTAGGCCATATCTTTAATAACACTCAGCCCATGAAAATATAGGATAAAACCAATAAAACCTACATAACACTAAGAGTCGAAGTACGTAAAAACTTAAAACTTGCGCAAGACACTACAGCTATTATCGCTCTCCTCACTCGACACTCAAGCTGCTCTATACCAGCCAGTTCTTTCAGCTTTCGTTATCATCTCAAGAAAATCAGCTCTCCCTCACAGCACTAAACAAGGTATGTTTTCTTTTTCATGCAGTCCTCTTCATCCAAATACTCATATTACACTAGTGTCTAAATATTAGTGTAAATGTGTAATAAAGTAATAATACTATGTATTAGTATATTAGTATGTATATAATACTCATAGTACATGAATATATATACTCTGTTTGTGGTTTTCTAAAGATATTACTCTTAATATTTCGAGATCTTAACTTTAAATGTAATACTCAGTTCTGTGTTTTTCACTTTTTCCAACAATAATTTGTATATAAACAAAGGTATTATGAAGATATTACTCCGCCATAGGTCAGTGCATATCTAACTTTGATAAACACACAAGTACACAACCAGATTACTCTGTTTGACCCAACCAAAGTAAAACATAGCTGTTAACGAAGGGCTGAGTACAACATGTTTATCAAAGTGGGTATCCACCTTTTACAACACACAACATGACAAAAAAAGATTTGAAAACTAAAAGAACATGACAAACTCACAACCAGGTTTGTGTTTTTTCATTATTGAGCAGCCATGTTTGAGTGTTTGACCCACAAATATATTATATATGTACTCAGCTTTGTGGTTTTACAAAGCTGTTTTCTAGTGTATTAAATAATTCAAGCTTTGTGCTTTTTCAGGATATGGAAGGTGGAACAAATGCTGTCAGTGGTGCTTTGTGTTTTTTATGCAATTGGTTCAATATGATGTTACATACATCATATTTGGTAATTATAGAATAGTATTCACCCGAGTCAGGCGAGCGCTTTAATTGCGCCTCAGGCGCTGAGAGGCCCCTAGCGCTTCAAGTGCGCCTTTCGACTTTGACTACCTTGAGTAAAACTATGGGGGAAAAAAAATAAGACTTATGTTTTTATTTCAAAATAGGACCATATTACTCCAATTTGAAACATACCTAGTTTTTCAATCCATTCATACCCCTCCTTTAAATATGAGTAAAAGGTAGTCAAAAGTTATAATTAATGCTTTAAAACATAATAAATTCGTTAAAAAAAACGTAGAAAAATAATAAAATTAATAAAATA